GTTTTTTTTTTTACATATTCGTCGTTCGGTACGATTTCAAAAAAATTAAAAATTCAAACTACCAAAAAGGGACAACAAATTTCAAAATTTTAACTAACACACTCAAGCAATTGTCATATATGGATATGAGAAAAATTAAATGTCATTACTTGGCGCACTGTATACACTGTGGTTTTTCTGAGAGCAATGTAAAATTCAATCACATTTTGTGCATGATACAAAAATTTTAAGGTAAACCCGCTGAGAGGCAGCCTGAACATTTTTGAATTTTACTAACATAAGGCACTCCGCACATTAAGCGCCGAATCATAGCAGTGTAATCGTTTCGGCCAAGGCGAATTTATACACGGTGGTGTTGATGGCGAGTTTAGATTTTCGCCGCGGTACATATTAATGTCAAAATGATATGTTTGTTGTAAACAAGGCGAATTCATATTACAACAAACACATCATTTTGACATTAATAAGTACCGCGGCGAAAATCTAAATTCGGCATCAACACCACTTTTCGCCTTGGTTTCGGCATACTACCTTGGTTTCGGCATACTAAACTAAACTAATTTCAATGAAGCTCTGTACATTACGATTCATAATCATTTTTTCGCCTAATAATAAAAGCTTCATGAATCGAAGCGCCCAACTTTGTAAGGCACTTGCCCTTTTTGAAATCGTCATTTGTTTACTTTTTTGTGTTTGAAATAAAAATCATTTGTCATTTCTACAGGAAATAATTGAAAATAACCAATTTCATGCTAAAATTAGTGCAAATTGTATTAAACCACAAGCATTTATGTAATATTTCGCTCCAAAATTTTTTGCGGAAGTGCGTAGTTAAAAAAGAAAGGCCAGAAAAAGAGTTACGTGTAGAATGTGTTTATTAGCTGGTAACTTATGCAGGGCGCGCAAGTGTGCAGAAGTCGAGTCGTCATGCATTCGTTTCGCATTATGATGAAACGATTACTCTACTATGATTAGGCGCGTAATGTGCGAAGTGCCTAACAAAAATCCCAACGGGACTTAAAGTGAGCTGCTCCCCAAAGGAGCAAGTACGGAGCAGTGCAAAAGCAAAGTAAAAGTTAATTTTTAAATTTCTAACAATGCTAGAAATAAATATCATTTTGAGCAGTTACATAAAATATTTTTTTTTTTGAAATGTTTTTATGTATATTTAATAAGTATGTAAGTTAGGGCCAAGGTACATTGAACAGGTAGTATCAGTAGAGCAGCTGATTTGATTTATTTTCAAATTATTTCGTCTCGAAAATGTCAAATATTTTTAATTTTTTCTCACAAAAATTCTGAATTGTTAAAATCCATTTGCATGTGAAACCTTTTTCCATACAAAACAAGCGATTGAATAGCAGCTTTTGGAACGTTCGCCCAACTCAGCAGCACAACCGCTGATTACTGGCCCTTGTAAAAGATGGATCAATGCTTCGAGAAGCGAACAAATTTACTAGGAAAGAAAGTTGCATCAATTTTTATTTTTTCCAATTTCAATTTTTTATTTTTTATAATTTTTTGTATTTCACATGGCACGCTTTGATTTAGAAGAAAAAATTCAGAACAGTTTTTGACACTTTCGATACCAGAAGCAACAACAAAATACACGCAAATGTTGTTTTTGCTCTACTGATACTACCTGTTTAATGTGCCTTGGTTAGGGCGATTTTTTTGCGACTATTGTTTTTCCTCACTCCTACCTCGAAATTTTGTAGAAAACACCTAAAAAAATTTGAATCCTTTATATTATACACGTAAACTTTGAGTCTTTTTCTTAACAAGTCCACAACTCAGAGGCATTTTTTATCAAGGTTCATAGAATACAAGGTTACGACATCAGCCATGGCCGCCATCTTTTATTTTATTTATTTTTATTTATTTTTTTCCGAAAAAGTCAAAAAACTAACAATGGTTCTTACCGACTAAACCGCTAACCTAGACCTGAACATTTATACAGAAAATGCTAGAAGAATATTGAGTTTAGTAAATCAGAAAACACATTCTTCAAATTGCAAGCAATTTAATTTTAATATTTTACACACAAATTCACACAACTATTCTCATTTTCAATCTCAAACAACAACAACATTGAACGATTCCTTTTTTTTACTCTCAATTTTATATGATTTTAAAATGTTGGCAAACTTCAAAAAAAAATCATGGCCGACGAATTGAGAGAACGGTTTTACCTTAATATGTTTTTATCATGGTTTTAACTTTAAATCAGTGGTAAACTCTTTCAGGCTGTAAAGTGTAAAAAACAACAGTTGGTGAGTATGCATTGCATACTTTTAGGACAATCTCGCAATTAAACTTTTAAGAGCTCTCAAGAAAAACGAAATATTCATATAAAATGCCGCACAAGATATGGCAGGAAATTTTCTTCTATCAAAATTTCTTAAATCAGTTTGCAGCTCTCGAGTATGGCCTTGGCTCTCAACGAAAAAATGCTCGTATATTTCTTTCTTCAAGAAAATTTACAGCAAAAGTAAAATGGTTTTTCAAGCAACAGAAATAATAAAAATATTTCTTATGATTTTTCTTGATAGCTGGATTCTAAGCTTTAAGATACAGTTTGTATTTGAGGTTATTAGCTTTAAGGGGGGATTCAACCCCAAAACCCACACATTGCGTGCGCTAATGATATAGAGTATTCTATTATTTGTGATAACGCTAGTGAAAATGATTCACGAATACCAACTTAATGTATGGACAATACTTCCCAGAAGATAGAAGAAATTAAGGAACAACTTGCTGCACATGTAAGTATTTGTATGAGGTACAATGCACACAAACCAGTTGAGCCACTCTGCTACCTTCATAGGCAACATTCATTTATAGAGCACTAAAGGAATGATTCGTTTTGCTTGTGGATCGTTTTTTTTTTCAGTTTTGCTCAGGACGATTATCTTTACTACAATCGTAA